TTTTTTAGCCTGGGGTGGGGAGGTCAGGGTGAAGAGGAAATGCAGAAGTAAACAGGGCAATGGACCCCTGCAGAGCCAGGCGTGGGTAGCAGAACCCTACATAGTAAACACCAGGCCGGGCAGTGTCTTGTCAATTTCACCTCCGGGTCTCCCCCTCCCCTGTCTATCCCACCCAAGACTGGGCTTATCTAAAGAGGCACCTGTAAACATCCAAAAAATAAACCACAACCAGAGGCCCAGGAGGAAAGGCAGCCATAGCTGAGTAACAAGATGGGACAGGAAACTGGGGAAAATAAATAAGGATGGCAGGCCAAGCACTGGGGATGAAGTGGCCAAACAATGGCAGTAGTTACTACTGGGTTCTGCAAACCTGCCTTTCCTTACCGTTACCAGACTCTCAACTAAAGAGATCATATGGTCAATGATCAGGCAGTGAGGGCTCTACCATGCACAGGGGGCTCAGAAGCTCCCAACAATGTACACCCTAAAAATTATCACCATGATCAGTTTTCCTTTTGTCGAGACACACACACACACACACACACACTGCCTGATGCCTTGCAGACCAGCCTGGCTTCAAACTCAGCTACTTGCCTCTCCCTCATACCTATGTCTCCCTATGTAGTCCAAGATGGATTAGAACCCACGACCCTCCTGCCTCAGGCTCCCCGACACTGGAATTACAGACCTGAGTCAGCATGCTTCCACTTCTGATATAGTAGTATCCAGAGCTGTTCTGGGCCCTCATTAGAAGCCTTGCTCTCCCATACATACGGTAGCCAGTGTGTCTCTTCTGCCTGGAAGGTTGTCCCTGGTTGAAGTATGTGTGGCATTATCCCCATGTGCATAGCCAGTGACTCAGACATCCCTAATTGCAGTTCCTGTACCTCAGTGTGTACTACGCTAGGCAAGCCTCACCCAGCTCCCCTGGCTCCCTGGTTGTGAGATGCTGCTCACTCTGTAGCCCAGACTGGGTTTGAACTTGCAGCAATATTCCTGCCTTCGCTGGGATTACAGTACCTCTTTGCTCATCTATCTTGACTATGTTCCATAAGTAGGTTCATGGGACTGAAGATTACTCTGGGTGTGAGTCCCAGCTATCCACTTAGCTTTGCCCAACTCCTCAGCCTCTCGGGAACCTTTTTCTGCTCATCTGTACGATGGGACCACAATGGTATTTTTGACTTTCTGTGATAGTCTTAATTGTCACCCAAGCATCAAAACCAAGATCCTTCTGAGATCTAGGCTTGTGAACATGTCACCCACCCTGCCTAGCTACAATGAGACTTTCGAATTTGTTTCAATATGTGTATTTATGTCTGTGAAGCTGCACAGGCATGCATATGTGGAGGTCAGAGGAAAACTTGGAAAGTGGTTCTTGAGGATTGAACTCAGGTCCTCAAGAGCTTGTTGGCCAGCGCCTTAACCTGCTACCTGGTTCTACAACGGAGGGCCATGTTGTGTTGTTGCTGTTGCTTTTGTTTTAGTTTTCTGAGACAGGGTTTCTTTGTGCTTCTCCAGCCAACCTGGAACTATGTCTGTAGATTAGGCTGGCCTTGAACTCACAGAGATCTGCTGGCCTCTGCCTCCTGAGTGCTGGGATTAAAGGCATGCACCACCTTGCCTGGTTTACAGTGGATTGCTTACCAAGCATTACAAACACCAGGCATAGTGGGGTACACACCTGTCACCCCAGTACTTGGTGAGTACAGGCAAGAGGATCAGAAATTCAAGGTCATTTTCAGCTACAGAGTTCAGTACCAGCCTTGCCACATGAGATCTTGCCTCAAAAATAAACACATTGAGGGTTGGTTTTAGCTCAGAGGTAGAGTTGTTGCCTAGTGAGCTCAAGGTCCTGGGTTTGGTACTTACCTGGAGGTAGGAGGGGGCAGAAACAAAAATCTCTCTCTCTCTCTCTCTCTCTCTCTCTCTCTCTCTCTCTCTCTCACACACACACACACACACACACACACACACACACACACAGAGGTATCAGTCCCAACTCTGCTATCTTCCCAATTTGTGACCTTGGGTGTGTTCCTTCTTGACTCTGAGTCTCACATCCTCTATGACAGGGAAAGAACAGAGTCCTCACCTCCCACCCTAAGTACTGGTCAGCACTTGTTTGGATCCAGCTTTTCCTTTCTGTGTGACCCTAGACTGACGAATTTCCCTCTCTGAACCTCAGTTACCAGTCTGTAATACAGGGTCATAGCTGTGCTCCCCTCATGGAGTTGTGAGGATTGAACCAGACCATTTGGTAGCTGCGTTGCAGTATCTGCCTCTCATTGGGGCTACTGAGACGATTAAGGCTGAACAGGCAAGACTGCCTAGGGGAGAAAGGCGCTTTAACTCCAAGCCTGAGAACGAGTCCAATCCTCAGGACCCACATAGTGGAAGGAGAGACTTGATTTCTAAAAGCTCTGACCTCTGTGTCCTGCAGTGCAAGCACCCACATATATACAGCACACACATATAACACACATGCATATACAATATACAGAAACACAACACATACATATAGGACATACAGCACAATACACACATACAACATACACAAATATACAACACACATACAACACAACCACACATATACAACACACACATGCACACACGTGTATACAAGACACATCACAATACAACATATAACACACATACAAAACACATACAACACACATCACAAACATAACACATACAATATATATCATACACACAACATACAATACAACACACATATACAATACGAAAACATATGAAACACAAACAACACATAATATAAAACACACATATACAACATACATATACAACACACAAATGCTAAAAGGAAAAGAATACTAGGTCCATGAGCCCAGTGACTCATACCTGTCACTCAACAGCTGAGAAGGGAGGCGGGAGTTCCAGGCCAGCCCTGGAACAAAAAAACAAAAAACAATTTCAAAAGAGAATTCTAGGAATACATCCTAGAGTGTGGCTGTGGGTTTTTTTTTTTTTTGAGATTTATCTTTACAATTTCCGATTTTGCTTTAAATAATTTATTTTACGTACATTGGTGTTTTGCCTACATGTATTTTATGTCTGTGTGAGGGTGTCAGATCCCCCAGAACTGGAGTTCAGAGACAGGTATGAGCTGCCCTGTGTGTGCTAGGAATTGAACCTGGGTCCTCTGGAAGAATAACCAGTGCTCTCAACCACTGAGCCATCGCTCTAGCTCCTCTCATTTTTTTAAATGTGTGTGTGCATGTGTGTGTGTGTGTGTGTGTGTGTGCCTCCTTGATTTTTGTATACCACATATATGCGGGTGCCCAGCGAGGCCAGAAGAGGGCATCAAACCCCCTGGAATGGGAGTTACAGGCTGTGAGCTACCCAGTATGGGTGCTGGGAGCCGAACTCAGGTTCTTCGTAAAAAGCAGTAAGTGCTCTCAAGAGCTCAGCCATTTCTCCAGCCTCCTTCATTGTTTTTAATTATGGGTATCTACATGCACACGAGTACAGGTACAGAGAGGTCAACGGCATCAGACTTCCCTGGAGCTGGAATTAAGGTAACTGTGTGCTGCCTGACCTTGGTGCTCAGAACCAAACTTGGATCATATGCAAGAAAGAGCATGAAGCACTCTTACCTGCTGAGCCGGCTCTGGCCCCTATTATTTGAGGCAGAATCTTAAATAGGCGATGCTGGCCTCAAACTGGCTACAAATAGCTAAGACTGGTCTTGAAATCTTTTTTTAAATCTTCTTTTCTAAATTTATTTTATGTGCATTACTGTGAAGGTGTCAGATTCCCTGGAACTGGAGTAACAGACAGTTGTGAGTTGCTATGTGGGTGCTGGGAATTGAATCCTGGTCCTCTGGAAGAGCAGCCAGTACTCTTTAACTGCTGATCCATCTCTCCTAAACTTCTGATCCTCACTTTTCTACCTCCCAAAAGTAGGCAAACCACCTGGGGACTCAAGCACGCTCGATAGGTAAGTGCTCTACCATGGAGCTGACTGCCCAGACCTCTGTGTTTGTCCTCTCAGCACTCCAGAGACTGAAGCAGGACAGAGTCAAAAGCTGTAGCAGGGGCTGGAGAGATGGCTCAGAGGTTAAGAGCACCGGCTGCTCTTCCAGAGGTCCTGAGTTCAATTCTCAGCAACCACATGGTGGCTCACAGCTGTCTCTAATGGGATTTGATGCCCTCTCCTGGGATAAAGGTGTGCATGCAGATAGAACACTCGTACATTTATAAAATAAATCTTTAAAAAAAAAAAAAGCTGTGTGGGAAGGGTACTGAGGAACCCCACTCCCAGGCCTTGAATTGAAGGATGTGAGGTCAAAGACTATGTAACAAGATGTAAGTCTGTTTCAAAACAAAAACAAAAACAAACAAACTATACCAGACATCAACAAAAACCCACCTGGCAGCAGTGAGGTGGCTCAGCTTGGCCTATTACCAGGCTTGATGACCTGAGTTTGGTCCCCCACTTGGGGGAAGGAGCTGCCTCCTGCAAGTTTTCCTCCAGTCTCCACATGTAAGATGTGACATGCCCCCCACTATTGAGTAAATAAATGTAATAAAAAATCAAGCTGGACATGGCAATACACACCTTTAATGCTAGCACCCAGGGAGGTAGATTCTGCGAGTTTGAGGCCAGCCTGGTATACATAGCAAGTTCCAGGACAGCCAGGGATTGAGATTCTATCTTGAAAAACAAAGAAGTTGTGTCAAATCATAAGGTTCTGGATGATCCCCGAGGGAAGAAGGAATCAAGAATGAGCAACAGACATAAGCAAAGCCCTAAACTGAACAGGAAGGAAACTGAGGCCCATGGAATTCCTTTCCAGAAAACACGGAATGCCTTGGAGGAGGGGCAACCTGGAAACAAGCTGCTTCCAGTCTCCCTGGGAGATTGGAGTCAGCCAAGAACCCTGGGCTGGAAGTGGGCCCTTTAAATCTAAGCTCCACCTTTGCTTAGAATGGGCTCTAGGGGTGTATATAAGGGGTGTGCCTCCTCTCTGCTCCACAAACAGGTCTGCTCCTCCTGCCCTCTGACCTCACAGTCCCTGGCTCCCAGTCCCTCCACAGTGCCCACAGCCACCAGGTGTCATGGACATACCACCCTTTGACATGTGGAGGGACTACTTTAACCTGAGCCAGGTGATACTGAATATAATCAAAGACAGGAGGCAAAGACAGGAGGATGAAGAGGCCTCCGGGCTCCAGGAGAAGAGGGAGCAGGAACCGGGGGTCTCTGGGAGTCTTACTGCCATATGCAACTTCTGCAAGAACAACGGAGAGTCTCGTCATGTCTATGCCTCACACCAGCTGAAGACACCTGAAGGCGTGGTGGTGTGTCCCATCCTGAGGCATTATGTGTGCCCTCTGTGCGGGGCCACCGGGGACCAGGCTCACACACTCAAGTACTGTCCACTCAACAGCAACCAGCAGTCTCTCTACCGTCGTGGTGGACGAAACTCGGCTGGACGCAAAGTCAAGCGATAAGTAATACCCATGAGATGAGATGCCTATCACCCACGCCCCCAAACCCTCCTGGCTCTCACCCTAGTACCCTTCTCCTCAGCTCACCAGCCCTACAGGGGTTCCTGGATTCCACTGTTCTCTGTGTCTTCAGGATCCTGAAACATTGGGGGTTGCTGGCAACTGGGTTCACCTGTCTCAGAGATTCCCGACACTGTGAGAGCTGTTCTCCATGGACCCTGCATCCTGGTGGCTTCTTCTGGATGTTGATGGCCTGCTGATGACATTAAGCTAGCCTTGTTGACTTCTCAGATCCCCAGTAAATATCCCTGGGGGAACCCTTGGACTCTCCACCCTACAGTACTCCATCGTGCTCTGTCAGGCCAGTCTTCAGAACCCGGAGACAGTGCCAGAGACTGGCTGGGTCCGTCACTGCTAGGAACTTGATGTTGGTACTGACTGTGAAATCAACCATCTATCTTCACCATCTCCAGCATCTCCAGACTCGGGTTTCTCCATGGACCATTCGAGTTCAGCCCTCAAGTTCCTTGAACAAGCCATCCAGCAGGACCTGGAGGAGAGTCAGGATCCTCTTGGAAGGCTGCAGGGCCTTTGTGGCTTCACAGGCTGCCTCAAGTGAGCAGAAGCCCACAGCTCCCCTGACTTCGTCACCAGTCCCGTCTCACTTTCTCCTGCCCCCAACCCCAATCATGGATGGATCCCTCACCCAGTGAGAGGTTTATCTCCTTGCCACCCCCAGTTTTGTTACTTGAGTGTGTTAAGTCAATGTGAGTTCCACAGCCAGAGTCTAAGAACCTATGGGAATGTGGCAACTGCTTACATTTTAATATTTTAGGGTCAACTAAGAACTCCAGTAGGATTTTAAGTTATTTAGGAGTTGGGCTTGGAGATGGGATGAGGATATATGGGTAGGATTCTAGTGAATAAAGTGTTTTAGAGTTATATTTGAGACCCTGGTGTCTATGGTCTTTGAACTTGGTTGGCTAAATTTAGTGGGCTGTGCCTTTAGGTGCTGGGGTATAGAGATGAAGGAGACGGGAGGCTGCATTTGCCTACAACCTTGGGAGCCACAGGAAGGTAGGAAGGGATCCTCCTCATATGTCCTCCCCACACAGGTTGTCTGGCTGGGACAGGCTCCCAAATACTTCTCAGCCTCCACCTAGACACTGATTTCTTTTAATTCTTTAAACAAAAAAAAAGTGGAACCAGGTGGTGGTGGTGTACGCCTTTAATCCCAGCCCTCAGAAGGCAGAGGTAGAAGGATTTCTGTGAGTTCCAGGACAGCCAGGACTACACAGAGAAACCCTACCTCAAGGAAAAAAAAAAAAACTGTGTGCAAAGGCCAGGCAGTAATGGTGTATGACTTTAATCCCAGCTCTCGGAGACAGAGGCAGGCAGATCTCTGCCTGCTCTACAGAGTGAGGAGTTCCAGGGCTATGTTGAGAAACCCTGTCCTCACTGTCTCAGAGAGAGAAGAAACTGCAGCGGGTAGGGGTGGGGGCAGGGGTACAACATCCAGGGGGTAGGTGATAATTCAAAGGAGTCCACTCTCTCCTACCATGTGGGTCCTGGAGACTGAACTCAGGTCTCAGTCTTGGTGGCAAGTACCTTTCACCCATTGGGTCATCTCTCGCATGCCCGGTAAGTCTTTTTCTTTCTTCCCTTTTCTCTTTCCTGTTCCCTGGAGGTTGAACCTAGGGATCTACATCTCTGATAGCCTTCTGCCTTATTACACTAGGAACTACCAGGTCTGACTTTTGATACTTTAAACTTTGGCCTCCTGAACCCCATCACAAAACTTTTTTTTTAAAGTATAAACTAGGCACACAGCCTTAAACACCCCTTTAATCCCAGCACTCGGGAGTCAGAGGCAGGCGGATCTCTGTGAGTTTGAGGCCAAGCTTGGTCTACACTACAAAGCGAGTTCTAAGACAGCCAAGGCTGTTTCACAACGAAATGCTGTCTCCAGAACACGTGTGTGTATATATATATGTATGTATATATGTATGTGTATATATATATAATATAAAATCTGTCTCCAAAATATCACACAAACACATATAATAGATATCAGCAGCAAGGACTGGTGGCACCCACACCTTTAACCCCAGCACTCAGGAGGCAGAAATAGGTGGATCCAGCTACAGGGGATCTCTCACCCTCTCTGGCAGCCAAGGCACCACCACCCACATGCATTTATAAACAATTAAAACTAAAATCTCCCCCCTTTTTATGTGTATGGGTGTTTTGTCTGCTTGTATGTCTGCATGCCACATGTGGGCCTGGTACCAGAAGAGGGCATCAAATTGCTTGGCACCGGAGCAAAGGATGGTTATGGGTGCGGAGACCCAAACTTAGATCCTTAAGGGAAAGCTCTTAAACTGAGCCATCGCTCCAGCCCCTCCCCCGCCTCACTTCTTAATACAGGGCACCTTTCCTTGAGTGTGGTGGGCCTGCCTCTTAAGTACTCTGGAGGCTGCAGCGAGATTATTGCTGCAAGTTCAATGCCAGCCTGGGATACTTAGTGAGATGCCCTCAAAAGCAAATTTTGGGAGTGAGCAGAAAGAGGAAATGGAGTTTTGCCTTTTGTAAGGATAGGACCTTGAACTAACTAGTGAGCGCTCACAAATAACCAGATGAATGAAGAAGCACCGTTTAATCAATGACCTTGCAACTGCAGGCACTGAAAAAATTTTCACAAGGCTAAACTCAATCATCAGCCTCTTAATTTAACAGATTAAATTCATCTGATGCGGGGCTGGAGAGATGGCTCAGTGGTTAAGAGCATTTTTTCTGCTCTTCCAAAGGTCCTGAGTTCAATTCCCAGCAACCACATGGTGGCTCACAACCATCTGTAATGAGGTCTGGTGCCCTCTTCTGGCCTGCAGGCATACACACAGACAGAATATTGTGTAGATAATAAATAAATATTTTTAAAAAATTCATCTGATGATTTATTCCTGCTTCGCGCTTTTGATTAAAATGGGCCATGGCCAGGATCCTCGTCCCCACCCTCCAAGAAACTCCAGCCTTTGAACTCCCTCTCCTAGCAGTGACGTCAAAACGCGAACAGGGGTCCTCCCAGGCGTGATTGGGCGATTGCTCGGTTGCTATGGTTACCGCCTCTGCATGGACGGGAAATATCGCCAGGGTGCCCCGCCCCAATCCGTAGGAGGTAGTTCCCAAGCAATCCTGCGCTGGGGCGTGATTGGGCGTGGGCAAGGTTTCCTAACGCCCCTGTCCTCACCCACGCAGTTGTCATGGAAACTAAACTCTACTCCACCCCCCCCACACACACACACGCACACCGCTCTCCCCATCTCTATCAAAAAAGACTTTTCGCTTAGTGAGAAAGTAGGCTAAGAGACTACCCAAAAAGAGGAAACTCCTCTCTGTCGTAGCGCTCTCTCCAGCATCTCTCCTTCCTCAGCTACACCCGCATTGGGTCCCGGGTACCACCGCGGTCAAGGTGCCCGCGAAACGCAAGCGCGCTGTAGGTTTGTACATGCGCATTTGGGCATGAGACGCCTAGGGAACCTAGTGCAATGCTGTGTGCGGCTGCGCAGCCGTGTCCTTCTGGTGAAGCAAAGCGATGAGCAGTTCTGCGCTTGCGCCACGCAGAGAGGCAAGGTGCAGAGAACGCAGCCCTGGCTATCAGGGTGTCTGGAGACAGCGTTCGTCCAGCGCGCATGCGTCTCGACTCTCGATGCTACTGGGGGCGGGGCCCAGAGGGGGAGGGAGTGGTGGGGGGGAGGGAAGAGGCTGCAGAAGCCGAAGCCCTGACCCACCGGCAGGCTGGGGCTGCGGCGGCGCGGGTGAGTGACACACGACCCAACTGGGTCCCCATCCTCTGCGCTCCATCACTCTTCCTGGAGTCCCAAAGGGCTTCGGAGGTCTCTCCTCTTATCTAGGACCCCCGTTATTTCCGGAGCTCCCCTTCATTCCAGGCAGTCCCAGCACCCCCACACAATCCCTGCAGACCCTCAGCCTTAATATTTTATCGTCTTATCCAGAGGCTCCCATCTCACCTTTACTCCTGGACATCTCTCAGGGACCATAAAACAGACACTGACCTGAGAGCCCCCCAACGCTCCCCTCTGATCTGGATGTCCCCTGTCTACTGCATTGCTCGGTTGGCATCACTTCAAAGCCTTATGGGTGTTCGACCCCCGGGGCATCCCTGATTCTCTTTCCCTTTCCTATTCCCCTGAGCCCCCGTTCTCCTCTTAACTCCTGCAGCGACACCTTTCTTCTTTGCACTTTTGCTCATTTCCCTCCATCCTTCCAGACTGTCCCCCAATATCCATCAACTCCTCCGCGAGGCATTCGGCGGCCGCGTGAAGCACAAGATGGGCACTGGGCGGGTGTCAACTACGAGTAAGCACCTCTGATTGCACTCAGCAGCTCGCCGCTCCCACCACCACTTTTGCACAGGGGACCGGAGAAGCCCGTGTCGGGGCGACACGGGGACACCGAGCCCCCGCCAGCGCTGTTCACCCTTTGCCCGCAGAGCCGGCGCCCCCCATGCGCCAAGAAGCCGATCGGTGGCGTCTGGGGGCGCCATGGCCTCGGCGACCGCGGCGGCGGCGCCGGGCGAAGCGGAGGAAACCACCCGGCTCCGCAAACCGCGGTTCTCTTTCGAGGAGAACCAGATCCTGATCCGGGAGGTGCGCGCCCACTACCCTCAGCTCTACGGTGCGCAGAGCCGTCGGGTGAGCGTAGCCGAGCGGCGGCGAGTGTGGGACAGCATCGCCAGCAAGATCAACAGCATCACCAGCTGGAAGCGCACGGGCCAGGAGGTTCAGAAGCGTTGGAACGATTTCAAGCGCCGCACCAAGGAGAAGCTCGCCCGAGTGCCGCACTCGACGCAGGGCGCGGGGCCCGCCGCCGAGGACTCCTTCTCCGCGGAGGAGGAGACTATTTTCGCCATCCTGGGGCCGGGTGTGGCGGGGTCCGGAGCTGGGGCTGAGGAGACCCCTACAGCCGCCTCTTCACAGCCACAAGCTCCGACCGCTGGTACGCAACGCTATGTTTTGTCCGAGGATCGCAGGCAGGATCGACGGGCAGGTGAGTCCCAAAGCCACTCCTGTAATAACTGCAAACACTTCTAAAGCCTACTGTACGCAGTTCACGCCCAGATTCTTCAGGCGTGTTTATCAGTCTCCTAAAAACTGTGGGAGGTGGGTGTTGTTTAGAGCTGGGGTGTTAAGGTCAGAGAAAGGATATGATTTAGTCGTGGTGGCAACGGGCCTGTAATTCTAGTCATCGGAAGGTGAAGGCAGAAGAAAAATGAGTTTAAGGCTAGCATGTACTACAGCAGACCTGGTTCAAAAGAAGGGTGAGCAAGGTCCGTCTGGGGATGCCCAACTGGTAGAGTGCTTTCCTAGCGCTGGGTCGGATTCCCCAGCACTTCATAGATCCGTGTGGTGGCACATGACTGTAATCCCAATACCTTGAAGTTGGTGCTAGAATAGCAAGGTTATCTTTGGGTACATTGATAAAATGCAAACCTCAGCCCTGTGAGACTCCATTTCTCTAAAAATAATAATGATTTAGTAAAGGAAATGGACTGTTTTTGGTGGTTGGGCAGCCACTTGGTAACTGTCAGGGGTAGGTGTGGAAGCAGCCCTAGGAGGCCTAGTTGGAGTCCGTAGCTGGAAAAGTCAGCCAGCAGCCAGGCAGGATTTCAATAGGTGGGGTAGATGCTGAGGCAGGAGGATCAGGGACCTCAGTGTCTGCCTTGGTCTTCGGTGAGTTCAGTATCAGTCTGGGATTCAGGAGACTTTGTGCCAAACCAAAAGCAGAAAGAGGGCTGGTAGAGCAGTTGGCCAGCATGCATGGGGCTCAAGAGTTCATTTCCAGCCCCGAAAATAAAGAGGAGAGAGAGATGGGGGGGGGGGCGACCCGGGACTGCCTAGAGGCAGAGTCCAGGCTGAGTGTTAATTACAGTGTTGTAGCAGGGTGGTGGCGTCCGAGTTCATTTCTGCTCCAGCCAAACACAGGTGAAAAGTAAGTTTTTCCCTCCAAGGGTTTCAGTGAGAACCTCGTGTGGCAGTACAGGCAAATTGCTTGCTCAGACTTCTCTGGAGTACATGACTAGCTCGTGATGTCGTGGTCAACAGTTTGAGATCCTTACTACTTCTCAGCTGTAAGCCAAAGACTTGGAGAAGTCTGGTGACTTCCTCAAGGTCATACCTGAAGAGCTGCTTTGGAGATTTTTTTTTCTTCATAAGTCTCTTTCCACCTTGGGTTCTCGGGATCGAAGTCAAGTTGTCAGGTTTGCCGAGTAGGCATCTTTTTTTTTAAA